GTAATCGTTCAGTCAGCTCCCCAATACGTATAGTGAGCTCCACAGCCAAGCAATCTGCCGTTTCTTCATCCAGTCGCGACAAAAAACCAGTGAGTGCTCCAGCCTCCAGTCCCGTAGATATTGTAACGGGACGAGGCAGCAAAGCGAATGTCATGGCTCCGAGGGGCGCAGGGCTAGGGATTAAGACCAACCCCCACAAGGAGGGTTTAGGGTTTCTGGAACTAGTGCTCCTATCGCCCAGCGATTAAACAAGGCTGGAGTGAAGCAATTCCAGAGGAATTGAAGAAAGAAATTTTAAATCAAAGGTCTATGAAAAACACTCAGTTTCTCAAGCCAGCAAATGCCTAGCCCAGGCAAGGCAAGCCCCCCTGATTAATAATCCGACCGCCGCAGAACAATCGTGTTTTGTTGTTGCTTTTGTTTGAGGGTTTAGGGTCGAGTCGAGGGCTTACGGTGGGGGGTTCGGCCCTAAGCCCCTACCTTAAACGATCGAAGGTTTCGACCCGCAGGCGTAAAGCACCTAAGCCCAGGAACTTAAAGTCCAAAACGAAGCCTTTATACCCTAACCTCAACCCTCAGGCCCAACCTTAAAGCCATACCTGCCCTACAAAAACCTAGAATCTAGAAGGAGTGTTGGGGGGCAAGCCCGAAACCCGCCAAATTTGTTTTGGGGGCGTTTCAGGCCAACAGCTGACCTACCTTGCCGAGGGGGAGGGGGGTTATTAATCAAGAGTGCCCATTAACCACCATCGCCTGGGCAGAACCAGTGCTAGATCAGCCCTTGCTGCTAACACCACCGGATCGGTACTGCAAAAGGACCGCCATCACTACACGGCGCCACTGCCTCAACCAGAAGCACCGCTGGCATACATGCTTGCACACCACGACAATCAGCGGTACGGGGTCTGATTCAGGCCTGCAAAGGGGTCACGGAAGCTGCACGGGTACTCAAGACTAAACACATCACCTCACATTTCGCTAGACTTCCTCGTATCGGCCAGGGGCTTTTGCAGAGTAAGCTCTGGCCCAGAAACAACGACCGCGTGGGAAACGGAGGACAAAGGATCAGATTGAAGCAACACAACCCACTGGCATTCAGACTACAGTAGCTATCTATCATCCTGCATCAACTCGCAAGGTGAAAAGCGCAAAGCGCTCTCTCTCTCTCTCTCACACACGCGCCTCTATCCATCTATCTATCTATCTATCTATCTGTAATACATACACACACTCACACCTGCCAAGCGAGCGTGCAATATCAGCAACTCGTTTATTTCTGCACGAGCTCAGAGGCCGATCACTGCAAAAGCTGAAGAAAGAATCGCGTCCTCCAACTTCTGCAAGCTTTGCGCCTGCGGGGGATTATAAGGGTTCAGGGTTTAGGGTTTTAGGGTTTCGGGTTTTAGGGTTTAGGGTTTTAGGGTTTCGGGTTTTAGGGTTTCGGTTTTAGGGTTTAGGGGTGACGCAGCTCACATCATTACACACTCGCAACTCGGGACTCTCATCTGAGACTTTCGGGCGCCAGGGCTGTCACCAGGCGGAGACGTGCTGCTGGTCGGATACTGTAGAGGCCGTACGAATCGGGTTTTGGGCCTCTTTATAGTCTACATCATTATAGTAAAGAGCCCTAATCGTGAGTCTTGTCAGATCATCCAGGCACCCACTATGCACAGCAAACCTGCAAACCCTAAACCCTAAGCCTTCTAAAGCCAGGGCCCCCTTGACTCAAGGACATAAACCTCAAACCCTCAAGAAAGCCAAGATCCTAAACTCTCCAAAAAAAATCCCTAGTAGAGCCCCTGTGCGAGCCTGCAGGTGGTGCTTCAGATTTCCCATACCAGTACGAAGCTCCTGCGGCTTTGAGCCCTAGCAGCTTGAGAAACTTGCGACCGGAGAAAAGGGCCCCTCTTTCAGTACCTAGAGTTGATGATATAAACCCTGCATTACTCATTATATTATAAGGAATATATACCATTCTTGGCTCCCGCATGGCAGTGTCCAAGACTCCGCTAGAGCAGGCGTTGTGGCCAGACTAACCCTCAATCCCAGGAATACAGCATAAGTCCCATAGTTTAAGTTTAGGGTTCTTAATCTAATGCAGGATTTAGATCATCAACAGTATGGTCAGATGCGAGGAGGTGTACATGCCAGAAAGAAGTCGCACACAAGTAGATGGTGATGCACTTCGAGATCTGGTGTGGATGCGCGACTCGGGAGCATACCCCATAAACCCTAAACCCCCATGTACAGGTCACTGCAGACCGCCATGGAACGATCGGCTCGAAGACATGGGTGAAAGCTTGGGCCACCTCTGGTGCTCAGCTATATTCAGCTATGCTCTCTCCGGCGATAACCGGGACATGTGTAAGCGCAGATGTAGAAAACTTGAGAAGATGTTGAAAAGCCACGGTTTCTTCCCACCCGCTTAGCTGACCAGGTCGCACTGCAGGGAACTTGTCCAAAAGCCAAGTTTTAGAGTTTGGAGAGTACTGCACACGTTTCTCTGGTTTGCCCTCGCTCGAAAATCCTCAAGCGGAACATCCGGCCGTGGAACGGTTCTGATTAAGGGGTGGGGGGTGGAGAGTCCCGTTTAAGGGGTAGTAGAGGGTTCTATCATAGGGTCCCCTTTTCGTAGACAGCCAACAGACTACAATCAATACGTGCGAGCCGGACAGGGCAAAGCTGGTTTGCGCTCTCAGGGTTAATGGTAGACATCACGGTGATGAAACATATGGTATGACTCTCTGGTTCTTAGTAGGGAAGGGGTTGTTGGGACTACTATAGGGGACCTTGAGGGACTATCATAGGGATCCATTCCCCCATTCCCTACTAAGAACCAGAGAGATGATGGAGCAGGTCAAGTGGTGGGGCGATGATGTACGCGGAGACGTTGCACTGAGAATTCCCCTCTTCCTCCCACGGAAGTCCTCCAAGGCAGATCCCATGTCCTCAACCGCCTGGGCCCCGGTTGCACAGGACAAACGCTACAAGCCAAGCTGGTGCGCAAAGTTCATGCTTGTGTGTGGAGACAGCACTGCAGCAAGCAAGAGAAGTGTGCCACCAGCGCCGTGGATTTCGATCAAGAGCGAGACGCGATGCTCTATTTTCTGCTGTCTTTGTCTGCTTTGAAGGCGGCAGTCACAGTCACAATTCGTGACAAGGCTGTATCAAAACATCGATATGGTTGTTGATCTAAACTCCTTCATCCCAGAATGACTTTCTTCACGAAAAAAAACATAACTTTCACGCCACCATCGCGGAAGTTTCCATACATTTGCAAGTTAGAACCCTTAGTTATAAGCTACAAGCTTCTCGATGACAAGTGGTTACGGGAATGAGAAATAAGAGCTTCTGGCAGGCTTCCCAGGGGTTTCCAGGGCTGCGTGACAGCCACAATAGTTGAAGAGGGCTGGTTAAGGCCGCCTTACTGGTTGGATTTTAACGAAGTCGTCTTAGGGTTTGGATTCTTGACGTGGCAAAGCTTCTTGGGGCCGAACTAATTGAGAGTTTCTGGGAGCCTTTCCTACCGGCTTCGGGGCTTTTGTAGAGCTGCTTGAGGCTGTCTTAGGGGTTGGATTGCTGACGATGTCCATCGGGGGGGTGGCCTTGATCTGGCAACGTTACGCGCAAGTTACGAGACTTACGCGCTAAACCCTATACAGGAACCTGATTTTGGGCTTTGTCGTTGCTTACACTTAGGATCGATGGCGCTACGAGGCACTGCAAAGAGCGTGAACCGGAGCAGCACAAAAGGCAGGACATAAGAGGAGCGGTAGCAGCTGCAGTAGCGAGTAGTAGTAGTCGTATAGTAGTCGTATAGTAGTCGTATTATAGTAGTAGTAGTAGTAGTAGTTGTTGTTGTTGTTGTCGTTGTTGTTGTTGTTGTAGTTGTCGTTGTCGTCGTCGTCGTCGTAGTAGTAGTAGTAGCAGCAGTAGGAATAATAGTAATATTGACAATAGAAATCATCGTAACAATACTCGCGATATTAACAATAGTAGCAGCTGTAGCAACAGTATAGGAATAGTAGGAATCATAGTACTAGTACAAGACCAGTACTAGTCTTTGTAATGGTACCAGTACTAACTAGTGGCAGTACAAGTAACAGTAAGAGTAACAGCAATAGCATTGTAATAGTAGTACTAATAGAAATAATATAGTATTGTAATCATAGTAGTAATGGTAGTAGTTATGGGACTAGTTCTAGTAATAACACCTGTGAATAGTAATAGTAGTAACAGTACAGCAAGTAGGCTAAACAGATAACTTTCGCAAAAAAAAACTTTCGCGGCACCATCGCGGAACTTTCGCGAAGGGATATTTAGCTATGCAGTTGATATTCATTATGGCTCAATGGAGCTTTAGATCAACCATTTACAAAATTCTGATGGCTGGGAGCCTGCAAGCTTCTCCTGACCACTGTCTTTAAGACAGGGCCAGAGTCACCGCAGTCAAGAGTGCAGCACACAACCTGAAGCGAGAAGCGGCTGCAGATGCATCCGATGAGTCGCCGCCCTCTTCACCGCCATTCCCGCCGCCCTCTTCGCCATTCCCGCCGCCCTCTTCGCCATTCCCGCCGCCCTCTTCACCGCCAGGACTTCCGTTGCTCGTGGTGCTCGTGGCCCTGGGTGAATCACATCCTTGGTAGCAAAACTCGAAGCGGACGAGCTGCTGCTCTGGCGATCCGGCATAGGCAACCGCTTTGCCATTGATTACAACGACATCATCGGCGAAGGGAAGCATGACCGGGTATTCCAAGGAGGTCTGTCCCTGCAGCACCGCACCGTTCGGATCGACGATCATGCATTCGCTTTTGTTGTAAGCAGTCCGGGACCAGACTTCCCAGAAGAGAAGGATTGCTCCGCCGAGCTCTGCGGTCTTCAGTCGGCTAACAGAGTCACCCACCTCGGTTTTAGACGTAAGGAAGCTGACTCCACGATTCATCTGGTCAGACCAACCGCCGCCAAAGGTGAAGAATCCGCCATTTTCGTCGGGACCAGGTGATAGCACCGCGTCGATGCTCAGATCCCGTGGGATCTTCACGAACCCCACATTCCGGGCAACGTTCAGTGCCTCACCTACAACAGCGTTATCGAGAGGAGGGGACTCACCCGCAAAGAAGACGAGAACCGTGTCATTGATCTCATGCAGGCCGGGGTGTGCCAACTCTGTGTAGACGTAGTTGTCGTTGCTCCACTTGTAGTACGTCTGGTCGCTCGTGGAGATTTCGTCATAGCGAGGATACACTGCACCAGCAGGACTTGTCTCGCTTGTGCCATGCTTTGTTTTGAAGGCATACACCAAGCGTTTCTTCCATGACCGCGAGGTTGCCTTCAGCTCCCAGAGATTGATGCCACGTGGGTAGTTGTCGCCCAAATCCTTGCCAAGGTACCAGCCATCCTTCTGGGACACCGTCAGGGAGTTTGCAAAGGAATGGCCTGAGGTTTGGCCGTAGTTCGTGATCATCTGAAGGGTGGTGGCGTTCAGCACGAAGGCAATGCCGCCTTGGTGGTTTAGGCCGTCGCTTGCTCGCGTCATGGTCCTGGCCAAAGACACACCAATGGTGCCGGAGCCCAAGTCCCAAGCAAAGGACGCACCAGAGGAGGAGAAGGCGTGGATATCCAGGTCTGTCGTGGGCAGAGCTACCCTGAGGAGCTCAGTGCCGGCAGCGTCGTACTTCACAACCTCCGCGGAGCTTGTGGCGGTCTTGTCGTCAGGAGAGCCTGCAGCACCCAACAAAAGAACCACGTTTCCCTGTGCATCCCCCACGGCCCCCACGAAGATCGTTGATGATAGTGGGGACAGCTGAACAGTCTGTGAAGACAGGTAGTCCGCAGCCAGCCATGTCAATTTTACAGCATCACCCGCAAAGTCCTGCCAAACTACGCCTTCCCGGCCGTCAGAATGTGTGACAGCGAAAAAGCGCTTGTAGGTCCCGTAGTTGCCGGTGTGAGTGCCAGGTCCGTAGCTCCAGTCCGTGTCCGGCCGGAAAGGTTGACCTGGCACGGCAAACCTCCGTGCACTTAGGCTGAAGCTTCCACCTGTTGGGCCTCCGATCCATGCTAAACTTGCGGCTTCCACCTCTGTAGCCTCCAACGGCCAAATACTCACACGAGTACTTGTGAGCCGGAGGATGACCAGCATGGCTTCGGAGAGTTGATCTACCCGAACAGACGTTCTGTTGTAAGTCTGAGCAGCATTCATTGTGTCCACAACGCTGAAGCCACTGGCCTCCATGAAAGTCCAGATGTTTGTGGGCCCTGCCGTAGCTTGCCTGATGTATAAGTGGGTTCCACTGGCAGTGAACTGCGTGGCCGTAACAGCAGGTGGTGAGATGCGATATGCTGTGAAGGAGTTCCCATCGGAACCCGTGAGATCCCCGATCTCGACTGTGTAGTCGGTGTTCGAGTACCGCAAGTCCTTCCAGCAGGTTCCACTGTTTGACTTCATGGTGACCAAAGAGATGTCTCCGAATGTCTCAGCCTCGGGGAAGGTTTCGGCACACTCCGTCACCTGGGTCAGTGGTTTCGGGGCCCGAAAAAGTATTTATGAACAGGCTGACTAGGTATACCTCTAAAGGAACCATAAGCAATTTCAAAGTTTTCCAAAGTGCCACCTAGTCACGCCATGTCCTGACAAGATCCGTTTGGCCGGAGCAGGTAGCGAACGACTCGCATTCAGAACCAGATATACGGCCGCTGTGGACAATCCTTCTACTGCCATGCCGGTTGGGACAAAGGAATTGGTGATATCGGACTTTAGCTGTGCCATCGGGATCAGCACACCGTTTTCCAAGCGATAGAGCCTGTAGTCGGACGCCGTGTTGGACAAGCGGATGTAGAGCTGTTGACCGCTCGCCACAAACTGCTCAGCCGAGGCTTGCGGTGGCTGGATTTCGAAGGCATCGAAGGTGTCTTCCCCTAGCTGCACGGTACCCATTACGATCGGAAAGTCACCGTTGGAGTAGGCCGCTTGACCAAAGCATCCTTGCCCTTTGTCTGTAAGTGCCAAGGCGACGAAGGACACGTTTGCATCGGTGAAGTCCAGCTGGTCCGAGCACTCCTGTGGGCTCCGCCCACTGAGCAAAACTGCTTCTGCAGTGGGTGTGAAAGTTGCCTCCTGGAACGTCCTCGCCTGGAAGGCATACTGGTACAAAGGGCTCAAGGACGCAGAGTGGCAGAGCGCCACACTGGCGCCGAGCAACACCCCGCGGAAGCTCATGGCCCACGGCTTGGTCGGGAGGAGGCACGATCTGAGCTCTGAACAACGCTCCGAGAGTTCCCAGAGATTTGCGATGACCTGACAAGAGCCTTCTAGTACCAAAGTTCCATGGCCTGGCAGAGAAAACATGCTTCACTTCCAACCATCTTTAACCAGCCATGCTTAGTGAGCTGGTAACAGCGAATAAACAAAGAGTCCTAACGGTAGCAATCACGAGATGATGCAATGGCATACTGCATCCTCTTAGCAGCTCAACACTACGGTAGATGCTTTTGGCTGGTCTTGGCTGGTGAAACCCGATGACAGTGCGAAGAGTCCTACCCTAACCTCCCAGGTACCTACTATATAGGGCCCTAGGGGCCCCTAAACCCTAAACCCTAAATAGGAGGGACCTGGGGGGTTAGGGCTACTTCTGGCCCAGGAGACTTCCAAGTACCCGGCTTTCTGCTGTTGTTGCAGGCGCTGCTCCAGGGAAGGAAGACCAACCTCTTCAAGCCAGGTTTAGGGTTTTGGGGTTTTAGGGTTTAGGCCAGTGACTCTGAAGTTCAATGGGGTGCTTCTTGTGGTTTAACGGAGTTCATGCCTCTGTTTTTGTCCCACCCGCCCAGCTGACTAAGTCGCACACCTGTTAATGAACGGGGTGTTGTTTTTTGAGGGCCTTGTTCCGTCTGCTAGATCTCTAACATCGGGAATCTGCCTTAATGAAGGGGGGGTTTGGGGCTTGGGCCTGTAAGACTGCGCTGTCAGAGGGGAACTGACCTGGGTCCCGGGACTTTTTGCTATAGTACTATCGTGACTCAAGGTTCAGGCAAATTTCTGTCACGTGATCACAGAGGCTATGTAGTCAAGGATTCTGCTCAGTGGAGCGAAGCGGAACGGCACACCTCGGCCATGACTCTGTCCGAGGCACCATGGACTCTGGGTAGCAGGAGGTAGGATCCGGGTTGGACTGCAGCGCTTGCAGCCATTTCACCGGATCCACCTGTTCAGGGTCATGGGTCTTCTGTTCAGGGTCATGGGTCTTCTGACAAGGGAAAAGCGGTGTAACAAGCTACATTGCAGCTTGCACCAGTCTGCTTTCATGGCAAGCACAGCTTCCTACCCCTCTGCGGCCAAGCTGCATGTTGCAAAGGATTGAAGGCCTGCGGAGTGTTCGCCTGATGCTCAAAACGAGTTTGCCCTGTTCCCAGTTGATCGTGTTAGGTTGCCTCAAAAGATTTGTGCGCATCTGGAAGTAGTTTTCGTTGGCAGGGCATTCAACGTGACTCACTCCCACAGCTCGTTCTTGCCCATAGTTGCGCTTCGAGTGACCGCACCCCTTCTTGCAGCAAAAGTCACTTGGGCCAGCAGCTGCGGGTTCGAACTGAAGGAGTAACCTTTGCTGCATCAAAATCAAGAGCCGTGTGCTACTAGAATTTGGCGCCAAGCTTCCCCCGACACCCCAAAACCTGCCTAATAGTAACAGCTGGGACATTGTCTTAGTGCTGCGAGGTGCTATACGCCAAGAAATTGCTGGCAGACCTCAGTCGTTGAGGCACTGCCAGGCACAGACATGTGCATCATTCGAGCATCAAGGGTTTGAAGAAGAAAGGCTTCAAGTGCTGCTATAGGCACACACGTACAAAAACAAACACACACACACACACACACGCACGCACGCACGCACTCACACACACTCACTCTTACACTTACACTTACGCTTACACTTACACTTACTCACACTTACTCACTCACACACACACACACACACGCACACACACTTTTACTTACTTTATTCTTTGTCTTTCAAACCCCTTAAGAGTCCCAGAACTCGCTGAGAAAGCGGCGGCGGCCGCCCCACGGCACCACCGCCTTGTGCTGCTGCCTGTCGCTTTCAGGGCTCAGGGCCTGAGGGTTTCTTATGTTTCTTGGAGAGTTTGCAGATCACGCATGGGGCTTGGGGTCGTCGTGTAGCAACCTTTCGGAAGGGACCCTGGTCATCTAGAGTGCACGCAGCCTGGGGCTGAATCATCCGTACCATTCTTCTTCAGGGATCTTCACAGTATGTTCTATGCTGCGACACGATGCACGAAACCCGCAGGGTTTGACTTCACGTCCAATTTGATCCTCTTCGGCCCCTCTGCTGCCAGACCCCTGGCTTATATGCAACGTAGTAGTGGATGCTGTTGCTCACGATCCCTTCCAGAGTCCGCATCTTGTGTAGGTACCTCGAACGGCACCTTAAAGATCCGGAGCCAAAACCCCTTACCCTATTATGTTGCTCGAAAGGCCGGAGCGATATTTGGAAGGGTTGGTTGTTCCCTCCAGACGCCATGTTCGCACGCAGCCCCCCTCGATATTTACGTGTTTCCTTTGGGCCACATGCCGAATATACACCGGTGCGTACACTGTTTCCGGCACTTACAGGGTTTCCTTTGGTTCACATGCCGAATACACCGGTGTGTACACTGTCTTCGGCAGTTGCTATTAAAACCCACGTCGCGCACATGCCGCAAGACCCCATCCGTTCCCGCAGACCACCCATGCCAGAACCGTAATAGCGTCCACCCCGACTCCATCCGATCACGCAGAGCATCTATGCCGGAATCCTACAAACTTCCACCCCGACCAAATCCGCTCACGCAGAGCATCCATGCGGGAACTGTGATGACGTCATGAAATGTGAAGTATGATGCGAAGTAGTTGTCTTGACAGAGCGACACGTGGAAGGCACAGCGAATTTGGAAAACAAATTGCAACTTTTGCTGGATACAGTCCGGGTGTGGTGCAAACCACGAATCAATTGGCGAGGACGACGTTTTCAGCATTCCTTCTTGAATTGGCGCGGGCGAACAGCGCGTTGGTTGTTGCTATACGGCACGGCAAGTCTCGAGGACTAACTCAGCACGTGACAAGACACTTCGGAGGGTTTAATGACTTTAGTGACGCAGCTAGACGAGGTCTTTCGGTTTACGCTCTCACGACTCGGACAAGCCACGCGACGTTCCACAGATGCAGGTTTAGCGGTTTAGAATCAAGTAGTCAAAGTAGGTTGATTTTGAATCAGAGGGTTCAGGAACAAATGCAAGAGCAGGAGCAAGAGCAAGGGCAGGAGCAACAGCAAGAGCAGGAGCAAGAGCAAGGGCACAAGCAAGAGCAGGAGCAATACCAAGAGCAGGAGCAAGAGCAAGGGCACGCGCAAGAGCAGGAGCAATACCAAGAGCCGAAGCAACAGCAAAAGCAGGAGCAACAGCAAGAGCAGGAGCAAAACCAAGGGCAGGAGCCAAACCAAGAGCAGGAACAAGAGGAGCCGAGGAGCAGGAGCAAGAGCAAGACCCACCCGACGTGCAGCAGGGATAAGACACCCCTCGAACGATAACGACACTTTTCGAGTTGTTATTGGGGGCCCTTCCTGTTCAGACTTAGGGGAAGGGATTAAGCGGTTTTCGGGATCTAAGGGCTGTAAGGCCTGATAGTTAGGTCATGGCATATTGTGGAGCTCGAGAGGGCTATGTAGAGGTTCGGAACCTTTCCAGTCCAGAGTCTAGCCTCCCAATGCATCTTTCTCTTCTGAAAATCTACCCTTATCATCAGATCCACGCTCGTGCTCCATGCATGACCGATGTAGTATTCTCAAGATCTGTATACGCCTCGATAAACCTCTTCCGGCCTGCGCTGCGCTCTGCCGGTCTCCCGCCGCACGGCCCAGAACCGGATAGAGGTCCTGGCAGCTACACTCGGGAGAACCCTTGGCCCAAAGTCTTGCTATTCTGGTTCGTTCTTTGTCTTTGCTCTTTTATTTTCACCTTGTGAGTCTGCATTGCTTGAGGGCAGCATTCCAAGCTCACAGGGTCTGGAGGGCCGGCTCCTGCGAGTCCACCAAGCCCTTCCGCCCAGGTATACGTCGTGGGGTGGTGATGAATGGCATTGTGAGTCCACGGGACCCTCTTGTGATGTGTACCGGTGGCTCCCAACTACCCTGAAGGAATCATGGCCCACGTACACTACAGGTAGTTGTAAGTGTTGTAAATAGGGTTTGGAGCTACAAGTGCTAGTATGGGCGCTGGTCTGAAAAGGCTTCTGGAATTGCCGGAATAGTGGAAGCCCCTTCGTAGGGAGGCATAGAAAGTCTCTGACGTTGCTGTGCGGACCCTCAACCACCGAGGTGTATGGTATCTGGCATGCTCCAGCATTTAGGGCTACACAACTCCTCCGCAATGCCCCTGACCCGAAACAAACCCTTGCACAGAGCAATCTGCCAGTGGCCGCTGTGCCGAATCTCCTCCATCCTTCTGGCCAGCTCCATGCACACCAGCTGAGCTTCTTGTGCATTTGGAATTGCTGCCCCCGTGGAGCCTCTGCCAGTTCTCAGCTTCGGTGGGTTGAGGTAGCAGGGGGTTCCTGGTTTTGTGAAGATTCCGATTTTGCAGACTTGCAGAGAGAAGGGTAGTTGCCCGAGGACGGATGAAGAAAGTGAACACAAGTTCGTCCGGTCTGTTGTATCTGTCTGTTTGTCTCCTCTCCCATTCCCTATGGCACTGGGTATGATAAACCCCAATGTCAAAGGTCGTCACGGAAACATGTGCCTTAACCTACATTGTGAGTGTCCCGTGTCCCGCTGGACATGAACACTCTGCCTGCCGACGCTGCGCCAAAAAGGCCACCGCTGCTGCCAGAAGACGAAGCTCCAAACAGGCCGCCACCAGTGGATGCGCCGAAAAGTCCTCCGCCGCTGCTTGCTGGAGCTGCGCCAAACAATCCTCCGCCGGAGCTGGCACCAAAGCCACCCGAGCTCGCTCCGAAGAGGCCACCGCCGCTGGAGGCTGGGCTGCTCCCGAACAAGCCACCGCCGCCGCTAGACGCGGCACCTCTAAACCAAGGATGCAGGCACAGTTCAATGCAGCGAAAGGCAATGTGAAGTAGAGGGGGGCCAATGAGAGGACTTAAGGAAGCGACAAAGGGATGGCTGGCGTCCGCACATGTGTCTGGAGATAAATTAGTATACCCCTATCGTCCTTGTCAAGCTTACGACAAAACAATAGAGTTACATACGATGACTATGTACGAAAACAACTCCACAATATTGCTTCCTACTCGATGTACGAAAACAAGTCCACACTATTGCTTCCTACTCGATCATACCATAACAAACTATAACACTATGTACTGTAATGCCCATATAGTGCACTCTAAAACATAACCCCCCCTCCACAGAAAGAAAAAAGACAACCCTAAACCCATATAAACCCCTTAACCCCCCCCCCCTCCCAACAAAAAAA